CCCTCTGAAGTTTGACCAAGGTAAGATTAAGGCAAAAGAGTAAATAAAAAGAAATCACTGATAATAAATTTATGTAAATTTTTATGTCATAGGTGGTAAAAGCAGAAAATATATGTAGATTAAAAAGCAGTTTGACCAGATGTGAGTGAAAGCTTAGCGTTTGGTGATTAAGAGAAACCTCCTATGCCTGCCAAGACGTGCCATCCCTGGGTGGGTGTGCACAGAGCTGCTTGCCCATGAGGCTGTGAAGTCCCAGATTTTCTTCTTGAGACAGAGTTCTGGGGTTAGACTTTTCTGTCTTACGTCTAGCATCATTAATCATTCCTGACTAATGTCTCTTATCCCAGTCCTGTTCTGTGGGTTGGATTTCAGTTCCTAATATTCTCCCTCAAGTATAAGCAGCCATTTTTGCTTTCTTTAGGGAACCAAAAAGGGTTTTAAAGAAAAAAAAGGAATGGCAGATAGAGTCATGAATAGTGTATGATGGGCTATCAGTTCCTCTTGAAATGGCTTGTGTTTTCTGGTGTAAGAAGCTTCCGAGCACAGTGGGCAGCTTCGTGTTTCAGAACTGAGCCTCATCTGTTTAGTCCTGTCTGGAAACCAGTGAACACACAGGTCAGCAGCAGCAGTGAAAACCTCTTTGAACTTGGAGAAGCTCTAGTTTGCTGGCATAATAGAGAATTTCAGTTATACTTCAGCTGAGATCTACGCAGACTTGATTCTGTTCATCAAAATCTGTAGGATACTGCTTGAGTCTTGAAAATCTTGGGACTGATGTTTAACTAGACATGTAAGTAGAGGCACATTTCCATCTGTGTTCCTACCCATTCGTTTTCCTTTCTATATATTTTTATAAGTAATAGAACAGGTAAGCAGCAAATGTGGAAATAATCCTAACTGGATTTAGTCCTCTCTTTTCCTCTGCTTTATCCCTGTATTCCCCAAGACTTTCAAAATTGTGGACTATGAAGATGAGTTGGATTTGCTTTCTGTGGTAGCTGTTACTCAAATAGATGCCGAAGGAAAAGCTCACCTGGATTTCCACTGTAATGAATATGGAACTTTACTTAAAAGCATTCCACTTGTGGAGTCATGGGATGTGGTGAGTAGAGTCCATAGAATACCAAGTTGTAAGAGGTTTCTTTATAGGTGACATTTATTGGAACATGTTACTGTGTTCAGGTCAGTCCAGGTTCACCTACACCAGTGACCACGTGAAAGAGGGTATCATCCTATATGCAAGACAAAACGAGTACTTCTTTAGCCTCACTCCACTAGGCAGTAGAGGATGCCTCCTTCCAATGACCTTTGAAGATCAAGCTTTGTATTTCTTCTTGAGTCAGGCTGTCTATTTCCTTACTGTAGTCTGGTTTTCTCCCATTTTATGTTTGATAATGTTTTTAAACATAAAATAGACTGTTTGGATCCCCAAAGTTATTTAATAATGACAAAGCTAAACATGTAGGATTTTCAAGCACTCTTGGAAGTGTTTGTCTGCTCTTCTGAGTATTATGGAATATAAAATTTATAACAGTAGGTACTATTTTATCCAATCATTGTTTTATCAATAGAGAACCTGAAAGGTTTAGCAACTTGCCCATGGTCACAAGTGAAATAGTGGCAGTGCTGGCAGTAGAATCTGGGTGTTCAGACCCCTAAGTCCAGGGGTCTTTTCATTCTCAACAGTTTGTGTAATTTTTTTTTTCATAAGTAACCCGCATATCCACAAATAATGAAAAATAAACTATTTCTGGGAATTATTTTGCCTCCAAATATATATTTGAACATCCCTAGCATGCTGTGACATTTTAATGACACAATAGTGAATATGTTTTTGTGAAGAGATTTCATTTGCCTGTGTTTTCATTACAGACATATAGCCATGAAGTCTACTTTGACAGAGACTTGGTACTACACATAGAACAGAAACCCAGCAGGGTCTTCAGCTGCTATGTTTACCAAATGGTATGTGACCCTGGGGAAGAAGAAGAAACCATAAACAGAAGTTATAAGAAAGATGGAGATAATATTAAATTTTGAGATGTAACTTAAGAGACTTCTAGCCAAACATCCCAGTGTTCATGTCCAGTCCTCCTTTTTTATTATCTGTATAGCATATCTCTGATGTTTTCCAGAAAGGGTCTTGTGTTGACTTCAGATGACTATGATACCTTTTTTAAAATTCTTGCCATACAACAGGGTAAGGACTTTCATTTTATGCCAAGGTTTTTAGAATGACATCCCAAGAAGTCTAACATTTTGAAGCTTTTAGGTGGGTGGTGATCCAAATATAAAAGATTGGACGGAGAAGGACAGGTTAGTTCCAATCATTGGAAGAAGGTCATTGACAAGAAGG